TACAACTATTCCATATAGAGATAACTCTGGCAGGTTCCAAGGAGGGTGAACCACAAGAGCCTAATTGTAGGCATCAAAGGAGGTGAGCATACATCTTTCTTTATCAATTGGAGGATTCACGGAAAGTCACAAATTGATGATTAATGATCACCTTATCACTAATATTGGACTACTTTGGATTGATGGGACTAATATTATTTACATAAAAAAATTTCAAATTGATTTTATGGCACAATATTTTGATTATATAACACTGTCACTAGTTGTTATTGATTTTTTTATGGTGTGGTATATCAAAGGAGGGATATATTATTTTTGGTATTTTGGTAATAAGGAGCACTACATTCAGAGGTATATAATGACGAGAATAAGTTATCATTATAGCCAATCAAATAAATGAATGCCCAAGCACTTGACCCACCTAAATGTGTAACACGCGTGTCAAACGTTCTTTCTGCCAAAATGCTGCTGCCAGGAGGAAAAGTGTCTAGAAGAGTTGGCAAAACATTCAGTGTGCAGGAGGCCTAATTGTTTTATTGCAGGTGCCATGGCAGTTTCTTTCTAATTTGAAGTTTTAAACTGGTTTTCCAACTTTTTCTTTGGCCAGTCAGTGATTCTACTTGAACTCCGACCCTTAACTTTAGAAGAGGTTACATGACCAATACTCCAGCAACTTGTCACAAGGCAGGCTCAAACAGCAACCAAAGTACCAGTTCTACAGGAAGGGAAATCATTCAAGGAGTCCTTTATTATTCATACATTTTGGGGACTGGGCAATTAGGGGACTGGGTTTAATTTTGTGAGTGACGATTAGGGCCATCCTTCTGGATCAGATATAGAGTTTAGTTGGTGAAGATGGCTGAGGCCCATAGATACATTTGACACAAGTTCTAAATGAACTGTATGCTTTACTGCCAAACAATCTGAGTAATATTTTGTCTTAGTGGAAAACCTTAGGTGATACATTCTGATCATATGCATGCAATGTACGTAACATAAAATATTAAGCACAAAGAACCAGCAAACACAAATGCTCCTGCGCTTGGGGATGGACTCGATGCTACAACCACATAAGGAATGTCCGGGAACATGCACACCTTGCTGCCCTCAAATGGACCGGGGAAATCCAAATATACTGAATGAGGAAAGAACAAAGAGAGGGCGCACAGGCCTAGTGCATTACCATAAAAAATGTTTAATAAAAAATAAAGTATGTGTTGTACCCCCAAACGACAATATAGTCAAGGCACATCATAAAGAACAGCTGGGTCAACACCGCGCTGAGTAACAGTCCGCAATAGGGAGTGTATAGACATCCAAAAGGCTGACGCGGACGAGGACTTCCACATGTGGCTCTGAGGAAGAGGCAAGTCCTCAAAATGCGTCAGCCTTTTGGATGTCTATACTCCCTATTGCGGACTGTTACTCAGCGCGGTGTTGACCCAGCTGTTCTTTTTGATGTGCCTTGACTATATTGTCATTTGTGAGTACAACACATACTTTATTTTATTAAACATTTTTTATGGTAATGCACTAGGCCTGTGCGCCCTCTGTTTTTTCTTTCCTCATTTTGTTTTTTCTTTCCTCATAAAATATTGAGCACCTTACATAAAACCAGTTTTAAAGTACTGTACATAATCCTTCAAAATGGTCCAAAACAGAACTACTTATACAGTACTGTATATGTACCATTCCTGCACCAGTAAATTACTTTATATGTAGTTGTGTCCAAATAAAGTCATGATTTAATTTATATGCCCCCTCACCGATCTGCTGTGTTCAGCTTTTCAAAATAAAGTGAATACTGGAAACGTTTGTGCTGTCAGAACTTCTCTTACATTCTATAACCGAGTTCTACAAACTTTCTAAATGAAGGGCCAGTTTACTATCCTTCAAACTTTAGGAGGGCTGGACTGTGGCCAGTGGGAGTAGAAAATGTCTTGGTGTCAGTGGGAGTTAACAGTGTCCCATTGCTGTTGTCAAGTGGAGATTTAGTGCTCCATCTTTGGTGTCAGCGGGAGGAATAGTGCCCCATCATTGGTGTTACTGGGAGCAATAGTGCCCCATCATTGGTATCAGTGGGAGGAATAGTGCCCCATCACTGGTGTCAGTGGGAAGAAAAGTGCCCCATCACTGGTGTCAGTGGGAGGAATAGTGCCCCATCATTGGTGTTACTGGGAGGAATAGTGCCCCATCATTGGTGTCAGTGGGAGGAATAGTGCCCCATCATTGGTGTCAGTGGGAGGAATAGTGCCCCATCACTGGTGTCAGTGAGAGGAATAGTGCCCCATCATTGGTATCAGTGGGAGGAATAGTGCCCCATCATTGGTGTTATTGGGAGGAATAGTGCCTCATCACTGGTGTCAGTGGGAGGAATAGTGCCCCATCACTGGTGTCAGTGGGAGGAATAGTGCCCCATCATTGGTGTTATTGTGAGGAATAGTGCCCCATCATTGGTGTCAGTGGGAGGAATAGTGCCCCATCATTAATGTCAGTTG